TCATATATACATTTTTTTTTCTTTTCTTTTTTTTTCTTTTTTTGTGTGATTGTTTCGGGCAATTGGCAGAATCAATAGCATTATCAGTTGTCCCTGAATCATGTAACACATTCTTGTTGCAGGGTCTAACAATTCCATCCAACATCATTCATTCTCCTTTTTTACTTCGCGCTAGGACTAATAACAATGGGCCAGGCAGGAGAAGATGGTGTGTTATCTTTTCCGGGATCAGCTTTCATCAGAACTATTTTAAAACCATTGGAGTTCGGTGAAAATGGTCCTGTCATGACATTAACAATTAATTGGTACACATTTAATTTAATATTTTTTAATATTTATTTTAATTTAATTATTAAAATATAATATAAAATAATTAATTCAATCACTTTTTATATAGGAAATAATACATTTATCCTACAGACCTACACAACCAAACTCAAATCATCGGTCTACCTAATAAAATGTAATTTTTTTTCCCACAGATTCGCTTATACCTTGCTTGTCCAAATTCCATTCAAATTGGGAAAATTGTCGAGCTCATCATCAACAACAATAGTTTCTTCGATGCTGGAAAATTTTGATGCCATAACAAAAGTTTCACTCATCCTCGCCTCCATGAGAGTAAGATGGAGTCCTTTGGGTTTGATTGTCAAATTCATAAAAACATTGATCGTATTCTAAAACTTTGAGTTAAGAAGGATTCATAGATCCCATTCTTATACAACCTCGCCCTTTCTGTTGTCAACCAGACGGGCTTGCCACCAGTCAAAAGCATGTGAAAGAGACAAGAATTCTAGGAATTTTTCTTAGCCACATCCTTTCCTTTCTTGTAGAAAATAGCCATGGTTGGAAAAGGGTAAAAGTGGACAATTTTGGCCTTATATGATCCAATGGTGGAAAGGAAAGAAAGGAAAAGGAACATGTGGATGAAATAGATAGAAATTTTAGGGTTTCGGGGGATTTCTTGTGTAATTAGGAAGGGGGGATCTAGGGAGATTTTGGAGGGGTTTCAGTCGACCAAAAAAGAGGGTGAGCCAACAAAACAAGAAAAAAAAAAAAAGGATTTTTTGTTTTGGGAATCAGCAACAAAATAGATATATATATCAAAGAAAGGAGGTTGGAGGTTTTGAGGTGCTGATTTTTTGAGTTTTCTTCCTCCATTCTAGGATTTGAGAGAAGAAAAAAAAGCGAAGGGAAGAAGAGGAACGATTGCAGTTAAGGGAAGGACCCCCTCAAGCCTTATATAACTTCCCCTCTATTCCTATTTTTGTTTCTCGTGTAATTTCAATGCATTTTGTGCAATAAAATGCTAAGTTTGTTCTAGATCTATGGTTTATTAGTGTTGACTTTACTTGGAACCTCTTGATTTTGATTGTTTCACATTGTTTTTTTCTTCGGTGTTGTTAGTTTGGAATTGCTATTCGAAATTGCAATTAAAGGCTTGTGGAGGTGTAACTGAACTTTGAGTTTCCTTCTTTTGACCAAAACACGGGAACCCATCTCCTTGTACTATTGCTCCCATGGCCCAGATCCAATGACGGTCTAGTACAAAATGCAGAGGATGTCGTTTGTCAAGTTACTATAAAATTTTTTTCTTTTTAAAAAAAATAGGTAATGGAAAGCGACTATAAAATTAGTATATTTGGAAACATAAATAAACCAATGCAGTATGAATGGTCAAAAGATTAAACTATTCCACGTCTAAAAGATCAAGTTGTGGGATATTAGTTTTTTAAAGAGTATGTGATCAGAGGTGATGGAATTAGCTGTGCGCGAATCATTATTTTTTTATATTTTAGATGTATAATTATATTTTTTAATTAATTTATTTTTAATTTTAAATTAAAAAATAAAT